GAATCATTACCATGTTCATATTGTAAATAATCATTAGTTACATTCATATATGGTATTACTGTCCTGTAAAGTAAAGTGGTATCTCTTTATTTCTAATGTAGATTTAATTACCTTTGCTTTAAGCCATGTTATTATACTTTAAAACAGGGTCTCCAACCTTTTTCCTCTGGTGAGCTATCTTTACAAAATGAAAATGCTGGAGCGCTACTACTATTAGTAGTCACAAGAAATTTAGGAAGTATAAGAGCCATGGCAAGTCTATATCTATTTATTATCACACAAGTTAGGAATCAAAATGATGCATTTAAAATGGTAAATAATCAGATTTTAGTTATTAAGCACAATACATATAATTCAGAAATCCTTTGGCGAGCTACTTGGAAGGGGGCAGAGAGCTGCTGGTAGTTCACGAGCTACAGGTCTGAGACCCCTGCTTTAAAAACATACCTGGAGTTCTGGTTTGTTTCATTCACACATTTGAGTAACCCTTTTTAGTATTATTATTAGTATGTCTATATCTCCAAAATGTGTGTTCCACCTTGTGATGCCATGTAGTGGTAGTTTTCAAGTTAACTGCTAACCTTTAGCTTTAGTTCAAGAGAGAGTGACAATTCCAGGGCTGAATGACAAATGACTCTAGTGAGGGTGTGTGGACCGTAAAAACACAGTGGAGCACTTCCTGCATTACCACATGACATCACAAGGTGGAACAGAGTGTTTTCTGTTTGAGAAAATAACTCAGCCTAAACACGCAGGGTTTGAATGAAACAAAACATCTCCAGGTTTGTTTTTGATGACTAAACTAGATTATCACTAAAATTTTAAAAACATAGCATAATATGGGGCCTTTAAACATGCCTACAGTTTGCAGTTGTATAGTGGAGGGCTGTTCACTGAAACAGCTGTTAAAAAGCTTTTTTTTTTTTTTCACTGATTTGGAGCCATCCCATGAGTGATTAACCAGACCCCTTCTTCTGGAGACTGGTCCCTGGGGTACATAATCCTCTTGGTGCATCTGTCACCAAACAAGCCCCACTGTCTGTGTTTGGAATTTAAACTTTTGCCCTCAACATAATCCAGTTTCACCCTAAATACTACCTGTGGCCATAGACTGAGAAGTGAACTAAGGGAGTGTCACGCCACCCATAGAGTTTGGCACCAGTCAAATGAAACTCAATGAGGTTAGCTGTTATAGGAGCCAGGTCTGCATTAGGAAAAGGAATTTACCTGTTTATATATATACCTATTATATTAACCTATTTTTACATCTTAAAAATACCTTGAAAACATTCATTCTTACTGTGTCACCTCTCCACAGATCTGATCTGTAATGGTGGTGGATCTCCAATCTGAAAAGTTACTCATTGCACTTTAATATGTCTCCTTTAACTCGATCCTCATATTTCGGGCTTTTGTTGTTGAAGTCCACAAAACCTCTAGTGACTTTAGCTCTGCGTTGATTTCCCATGATGCTTCCGGGCTTTCAATACACACATAACAGGAACTCCACTGGGAGAGGAGGCAGGCTTGGAGTACAATGAATAAAATTAAACAGCAATTTATTATCTTTTGACAAGTAATTAAAGAAGTCTGGATGAAAAACTACCTTCTTTTCACTGTGGCATAGATACAGCCACTGCACCTTTAAGATGCCTAATCACAAAAGCATGAACGTGAACTTGATTGGATTAGGAGCAAACTGTCAATCACTCATTTACATAAATACTCAAACTCAAATTGCAAGAATCACAAAGGAAACTGGTACAGTAAAATGCAGACCCAAAAAAATTCAGTTATTTGTGTTAAAGAGCCTATATTACATGATTTTCTGATCCATGTTATAATGTTTTCTCATGACAAACAAATCTGGAGTTGTGTTTTGTTTCATTCACACATGCTTAACACAGAAATCCTGCGTATTTACTCTGAGTTCTTATCTCAAACAGAAAACACTTGGTTCCACCTTGTGATGTCATGTGGTAATCATAGACTGTATAAAAAAGTGGACTAAGCAAGTGTGACATCACCCATAGCACTCAGCACCACTCAAATGAAAATTGCAATACTAGCAGTTATAGAAATTAATTTGGAGCCAGGCTTTATGAATAGAAAGAAATTTTTGATGGACAAAATAGTAAAAAAAAATCCCACCGGGTTAATACGAACATTTTAAGACCAAATGATGAGGCTCACAGCAGCAGTTACAGAGAAACTGGTGACAACATTCTAATGCAAGTCAATGGGAGCCAGCGTATTATTCATGTCCATTTATATAGAGAGTCTATGGTGGTAATACAGGAAGTGCTCTACTGTGTTTTTAAACTCCATACACCTTCACTAGAATCATTTGGATAATTTCAGATGTCTGGGCTCTCTAATGAACCAAAGGTAAAAGGTGCCTGTTAACTTGAAAACTGCCGCAACATAACATCACAAGGTGGAACATTTTGAGCTTTGGAGATGTAGACAAACTAATAAATCATAAAGGGTTACTCAATGTGTGAAAAAAACAACAACAAAAAAAACACAGCTCCAGGTAGGTATGTTTTTGGTGAAACAACATTATAACAGTTCACAGAAGTAAATTTTGCGTAATATAGGACCTTAAATGGTTATAGCCTACTAGGAAATACTGATTAACTGTAGTTGTTTGCAGTAAATGAGTTATGACATATGCAAAGCTATGACATATCCATAGAAACGAGCTGATGACAGATCCCTAACCAAAAAGTGATGTAGTGCATGTAATAACTTTTTAATGTCTAGTCATAGAATAGTGTGAATGAAAGAAAACACAACTCCAGGTGCGTTTGCGATGCGGAAATAACATAAGAGGTCCTTTCCTCACTTCAGACCACAACGTTATCAGAAACATGAACAGAAACATTAAAGCATATTATTTTATCATTTTTGGTCACAGAAAAGCTCTTCCTTTCAATGTGAGCTGTTTGGGAAACTACGATTCAGCAGCTCGGCCAGATGGAAAAACTGTGGATGCATTTGGATTTCACATTCTTTTGATTCTCCAGTTGGATGCGACTCCAGTCTCGAGACTAATGGACAAACTGAAAACTTGGCTTTTAAAATAAAGAGGGAGGAATTAAATTAGACTTGTCGTAAATGGGCAACAAAACAACACACTTTTTCATTGCTGATCACATTATTTAAAGAAGCATTGTGTAACTTTTCTGGTGGAGGGTCCGTCAAATGCTTTTCTCTGTGGAGATGTTGTTGCTTTGTCTGGAATGTTTCACAGTATGGCATTAACATTTGTATCTTCATGGAAACCAAACCAGACCAAGTTACATATGAGATCTGTGGAGAGGCAACCCCACTCACAGTCAGAATACCTGTTTTTCTAGGTATTTTTAAGCTATAAAACCACATGCAATTTAATAAAGGTAAGGTAGAACGGTTTAATGTCATACTGTGGAATATTCCAGGCAGAGCAATGACGTATCCATAGAAACGTGCCGGTGACAGACCCCCAACCAGTAAGTTACGTAGTGCATGTAATAAACTTTTAACGTCCTACTGAACTATTAAAGAGGGGGTATTATACTTCTATGGGGTAATTAAATGCTAATATGGAACATGTTTGGTCCCATTGTTACCTTTCATTGTTTTCAAAATGCAAAATGTGCTGATGAAACTGCTGCACATCGCATCAGGTTTGTGAAGTTGTTGTATACAGTTTCATGTTTTTGTATACTGGATAGTGGACATATAACAATGTACAGCTAACCCTAAAAAGGGTTTGAATAAGGCCTGCAAGAGATCGCTAAATTACTCAAACATGCATGGATGACATCTTAAACCATTTCAGTCATGTTTTTGTTGATGGAACAACGTTATAACATGGTAGAAAGCTTCAAAAAAGTCAATTTTGCATAACACCCTCTTTACGTTTTGAGTTTTTAAACATTACACTGCAAAAAAAACTAAATCTAGTCAAGTTAAGATGACTTGAATTAAGAAAATTTATCATAATTTGAGTAAATTTCACTTGACAAATATTTGCCAGTGGAATAAGACATTTTGTACTTAAAATATGAAAATGCATCTTGCTACATTTAAAATACAAAAAACAACAGCAAGTTTTTGCACTTAAAATAAGAAACAAAATCAAATGTTGCTTGAATTAAGAAAAACACACAGATAATTTTACTGTCAAGTTAAATCTACTCAAATAATGTAAAATGTTCTTAATTTAAGTCATTTTAACTTACCTAGATATTGTTTTTTTCCATTGTATAATGCAGTTTCTTCACCAAACCAGATTAAGATGTGTTATGTTGAATTTATGCTTAATTAGGCTACCCACATCTCCAGAACTGAAAATACATGTTTCAAAATCCACAATACAAATGTTCATTAACCCATTTAAGATTATTTCCAATTTTTTATTCATCTCTCATTCACTCTATCAGATGATGAATACTTGAGCCATGACAACACCAAACAGGAGATGCTGAATATTGTGGGACATGAGGGACGGACTCGGAAATGAAAATCAAAATCAAAATTGCAATAACATCATACAATTTTCAGTTTCAATCATAACATACAGAGAGGTGGGCGCCACATATTACAAACCTGAATGCCAGTACAAAAAAAAAAAAAAAAAAAGGAAAAAAGGAAAATGTAATGTAAAAAATAATACTCACATTCATGTAAATCTCATTTTTATAGGGCTATTTCATGTGGTATCAATGAATAAGTGGGATCTTTTCGAAATAAGCGACAATGTGGCGTTTTATGCTCAGAAATCAGGTCTGAATTTGTTGAAGTTGCTTTATATTCTTATAGATTTCAAGCTGTAAAATGTGGAATACCAAGTCGTCTAAAAGTAGATTAAAATGTCTGAATAATATAGCGCACATTACATACGGGGCCTTTAAGGAGTTTAGCGTTATACACGGGATCAAAGCTCTTCACCTCATTTTAAGAACAGCACCTCGCGCTTTAATCAGGTCTTTCTCACAGTCTGTGTCCGTGGATCAGCTAAGCGCGTCCAAATCCTCCTCTAACCGTGACTCCCGCGTGGGACTGGAGTCTGCTTTGAAACTGATGGAGCCGTACAACTTGGCCGCGTGCTTGGAATACGCGAACGCTCTCCTCCTCATCATCTCGCCTTTGTACATAGAGATCATGAGCAGAGTGGACAGAAGCACGCCCCCTAGTGTCAGCAGGCACAATCCGGCAATTACGCACCGGTCCAAATGCGCTCCAACTCGGGCTTTCTCGCGCTCCAGTCGCTCCATCTCCCTCGCGGACACGCTGTCGGGGTCCACCCTCACATCGCGAGGGATGGTGTAAGAAAGAGCCACTAAAGAGATGCCTGTCAATAAACACGTGACCGCGATAATGAAGCCGTAGTCCACAGATTTGACATCGGAGTTCAGATCGTCGTCAGATAATAGATAAAGTTCCGGTATGTCCTCTTGCGACGCGTCTTCCTCCTCAAAGTAATACTCGCTGGACGTAGTTTCACTTAATCTGCACGTCTCTGGACACGTGCCAATAAGTTCCACATCATCAGCTCCATCCTCGTATTTTTGCTGCTGCTGTTGGCACACAAAACATGTCTCTGTTTGGGGTCCCCGGTGCGCGCTGGGAGCCAAAACCGACTTCCCCACTCCTCCGCCGGGATGCGCGCACTCCGAGCCACCGCTGCTGATGCTGGTAAACTCGCCTCTCGTTTCGATTTGGTCAAAGTAAAACAGTTCCATTTGAATAAGCGAAAGGTTCTTCTTGAGTCGACTCCAACATAAGTGTGTGTAAAGAAAAAAATAAATAAAAGTGGAAATGCAGAAATTAATTCGCTTGGAATGGCAACGAGGCGTTTTCAATCTTCTTCTGCGGCACGAAGAACAGTGAAGCACGCATTAAGTATTCCCCCAGTGAAATCTGTCTGTCCCTCGGAGTCGCTTTTCACTTTACCCCAAAAGATTTTTTATCCGGCTTCAATACGCGGTGATAAAGACGCGGTTTTCAAAGTGAACGGAGGCGCACCACCGCACTTCCCGTCTGCGATCGCTCCTCTGGCGTCTCCCCGCCCCAACAGCCTCTGCTCCCGGTCAATTAGGAGGGAAAGGTCCGCTAGACCCCGCCCATGGACCGGGCTGGACTCACTCGTTATGCGCCGTGACAAGTTCTGGTCCTCCTCAGCACCAGCTAATCAGAAAGAGTGGGAGGAGAGGGAGAGAGAGAGAGAGAGAGAGAGAGAGAGAGAGAGAGAGAGAGAGAGAGAGAGAGAGAGAGAGAGCAGTAGCGAAAGGGGGAGAGAGGAAGTGGAAAAGGGAGCGAGGGGGCAGAGAAAGAGAGAGGAAAAAAAGCAGTAGATGGGGGGTGGACGTAAAGCGAGAAGAGGGAGAGGGAAAGAGAGATAGTGAGAAAGTAAAAGAGAGGGAGTGAAAGTAGGAGAGAGGGAGAGCAGGACAAAGAGGAAGAGAGAGACAGAGCGGAAACAAGTGTGATCACAGACTATGCCTTATTAAATGAACAACACATAAGATGACTATAATGACTTGAGTACAGACTTTGAAATGTATGAACGAGAACAAACAGGCCTACTGAGTTGCTGATACTGCGAGTGGTGCAAATAATACATGACTACGCATAGTTAGGCCTGTCCATTTGGCAAACAGTTTTAAGGCAAATACTGTGTGTGCTTCAGCAGAGACATACAGAACTGCACACAAGGTCATTTCAGCAGATTAGAGATAATCATAGACTGTATTTATAAGTAGGTAACTCAAGTGAACATGACGGCGTTTCTGGCTCCATCAAGCTCCAATTGACTTTACATTGAAAAATTGTCAACTCTCTCTGTCATTTTGGTCTTAAAATGTTCCTATTAACCCGCCCTGCATGATCCTGGTGTTCCAATATTTTGTCTGTTAATAAATTCCTCGGTGCTAAATAACTCGGCTCTAAATTTGCTCCTATGGTCTATGGTCTATCCTGTATGAACTCATTTCATGCTACATGGAGAATCGTAACAGGAAATGGCAGAAGTATTATAGTTTACCATATAGTCACTGTTTAATTGATATAAAAAAAACACTGAACCTGATGGATTTACCAACATGTTATTTATCTTCTATTGATTACTAAACTCTGATTTTACAGAGGTCAAATAAATCTCTTTAGACTTACGATTCACAAGATTTAACTATTGCCTTGGGGCTGTTTTTGTCAATATCATTTACGGGCATGCACAATAAATAAAGACTAAAGCATTCCATGTTACAACTTCAAATGCTCTTTCCTTATCTATAAATGTCCCGTACTTTTCAAGGTGCACAATTAACTTTTCTGTTAGAATTTCCACCAGCTATTAGTCTCCATGACAATGTTACTGCTTTATCAGTAATGTTCTAGTCTGGCATTAAAAGTATCTATCTCCATGAAGACAAGCAGGTGATGCCATCAGGCTTAGTTACAGATCTGCCAAGAGGACTTCGCTCACAGATGGAGTGCATGTTTTTCAATGTATTTCAGAGTAATAAAAACACCAGCAATTTAAAAGCTAAAGCATACCAGAAAAATTATATAGTGCACCTTTATTTATTATAGAAAATTTTCTCTTGTGAGCTTTAAGCCATGTTGAATGTTTTAACAAAAACATACCTGGAGTTGTGTTTAGTGTCATTCACACATGTTTGAGTAATCCTTTTATCCCCAAATCTCAAAATGCTCTTTTCCTTATGGTGATTTCATGAAGCGGTAGTTTACAAGTTAACAGCTCCTTTTACCTTTTATTTAAAACAGATTGGCAATTCAAGGTCTGAAATCATCCCAGTGATTCTAGTGAAGGTTTATGGAGTTTAAAAACACAGTGGAGCACTTTCTGTATTACTACATGACATCACAAGGTGGAACAATGTTTCCTATTTTGGAGAAGAGCTCATCCTAAATATGCAAGATTTGTGTGTTAAACATGAACGAAACAAAACACAACTGCAGGTTCAGTATGTTTGTGATGAGAAAACAACATTGTAACATAGATCAGAAAATACAGTCTCTTTAGATCAGTTGGCTATTGTCCAAACAGTCCCATGTTCCTTTAATAATTTGAAAATGTCTGCAGCTCCAAACACCATTATATTTTATGGCTTCTAATGTAATCAAAAGGGGGATTAGCTTGTAACATTGTTGGGCATGCATACATTTTTAATCAGGGTGAAATATACCGGCTGTCAATGGGCCTGGAGTTGTGGTTCTGGAGGGACTTGGATATCTGTAAACATCATTATTCATGTAGCACTGCTCCTTTGGGACACTGGTTAACAGCATTGTCTGAGCCATATAGGAGTTCAAACAGGATTACAGTGCACAAAGTAAAGTACTTCTCTATTGCTAATATACGAGCTGTTTGCAAATAGTTGTGTGAAAAATGGGAATAGTTTGACAAAGGAGATTTAAAATGCACCACTGATGAAGAATGGTAGAGCTATTTCTGGGTTTAAAATAACAGCAGCAGCACCCCCCCCCCCCCCCCCCCAACAAAGGAAGGAAATAAGAAGCACATTAAGGTTGTTGACACCATCTCAATGAGCAATTTTGTCGAACGACTTGTGTGTATACTGAGAAATGGAGGCCTAGTACGCAGTGGTGGAAAATAACAAAGTAAAAGTAGTAAAGAACTGTACTCAAAGGTGCATTCTGTAACTTTTCTATTGGAGGGTCCACCACTCCATGTTGTTGTTGTTTTTTCTTTCATAAAATGTTCTACAGTATGGCATTTAGTTTAATTATCTCCATGGAGACAAGTAGCTCACGTTACCAGACCAAATTACAGCTCAGATCTGTGGAGAAGTGGGCCCGCTTGCTGTAATTCTGGGAAATAAAAGCACCTGTAATTGGATAAATACAAGATATATTTGTTTAATGCCATACTGTGGAACATCCCAAGCATCACTATGGAGATAAGTAGATGTAGGTCCCACAGTAGAACAGAGAATTGTCTATTTAGGAGAAAAACTATGCAGGGTTTGTGTTTTAAACATGTGAATGAGACAAAACACAACTATAGGCGTGTTTGTGATGAGGACAAAAATATAAAATCAGAAAGTAGTATAATATGGGCCCTATAATGCTCTACTGTGGCACATTCTAGGCCAAGGAATTATAACATATCATGGAGACAAATAGCTGAACTGTCCTTCACCAGAAATATTACAGAGAGAACAAAACATCTTGATTCTCTGTATGAAAAGTGAGTTAAAAAGATGTGTTATCAATTGAAAATAGTTTTACAGCTTTAAATGTACGGCTCTTTATATCAGACTAACAGCAAGCAACATGAATTTAAATCACAACACGCACTTGACTTCACCCCAAACAGAGCCCACAGAGGATTCAGACAAAACAAAAATGGAAACAGCACATATCATAAGCTACAAATATCATTCGTGGTCTGCATGTGGTACATAAACAAGATGTAAAATGTGTTATACTGCATTCAAATCAGGGGGTCTCATCACATTGTAAAAAACAATATCTAGATAAGAACATTTTACTTTATCTGAGTGGATTCAACTTGACAATTAAAAATATCAACCAGTGGAATAAGTGTGTTTTTTTCTTAATTCTACCAACATAGATTTAGTTTCTTATTTAAAGTGTAAAGTTTTTGTTTTTTAAGTGTAGCGAGATGCATTTTCATATTTTAAGTACAAAAAGTAGATAATTTTACTTGTCAAGTGAAATGTATTCAAATCATAATAAAACTTTCTTTACACAAGTCATCTTATTTTGGCTAGATTTTCATTTTTGCAGTGCATCTCTATAGTCTAAACCACTGAAAGAAGACAGCAAATCTTTATTCCACCATCTTGTTTTTCTATACACACTGCTATATACTGTATATATATATGCACAAAAAATATTACTGTAATTACTTGCTCCAGTACAAATTTATTATTAGTGTCAAAATGATGAAGAAGTTCAGTCAATAGTGGATATCTGATTGTGTGTGTGTGTGTGTGTTTTTGTTTTTTTTCAGAATTATTATTGAGGGACACATATTTAAGTTCTTTAAAGGGCCCATATTACACTAGTTTCTGATCAATGTTATATCTGTGTTCTTCCCTCAAACTGAAAACACTGTCATGCTCCTCCTCCTGCTTTTTTAAACATACAACTTGTCTAGAATAATTTTGATAATTTCATCCCAGGAATCACCAATCTACAAAACAAAAAGTTAAAGGTAGCTATTACTTTGAAAACTACCGCTTCATGAAATTACAAGGTGGAACAGAGCATTCTGAGCTTTGGAGACATAGACAGACTAATAATAAAAGATTACTCAGACATGTGTGATTGAAACAAAAGACAACTCCAGGTCTGTTTTTGAGGAGGTAACAACTTAAAGTTACTCAAGAAGCAATTTGGCATGATATAGGACATTCAACTTCAGCAAAAACATAGCAGGATCCTCCAGTTATCTTTGCCCTCCCAGCGTTGCCATGGAAATTTGCCCTCCATGCATGATGCTGTATGAAAAGGTGTGTGTGGTGTCCTTGACTTGTAAAGAGGCCGAGACTCTGGATGTCTGATGCAGGAGAAGTTTAAAAAACATGAATATACAACACAAAACTGACCATTCCAGTGTGGCTATGTACTGTAGAATCAATTATAAACACACAGATCAGGTCAAAGGTCAAAGGTTCGGCCATAATTATGTTTTCCCGAAGGTCAAATTATTATTCGTGTTGCAGACGGA